GGCTGCAGGGGGCCCTCAGCCCTGGCTGCATGTTCGCACCCCCGTCCCTACCTCTGAACTCTTGGATCGGCATTCCTGGGACAGGGGAGGGACCGGACTGGACGGGGCCCCTGTGCCAGCAGCCTTGGTGGGGGCAGCTCAGGGCCTCTCCTGGTCCCGCAGGGCTCAGTGCCTCCTTCCCTACTCCAGGCAGGGTGAGGCTGGGGGGAGGGGCCCTGCCTCCCCCCACCCCGAGCGGAGGCCGGCTGGGGGTCCTGTGTGGGGAGCAAGGCTGGCTGGTTGCAGGGTGACCCTCCAAACCTTCAGTCTGCTCCCCCCTCAGTCTGCAGCCCCTCCTTGGCGTTCTCCCGGGAGCCCAGCTCCTGCAGCCGCTCACCCGTGTGCCACGAAGCTGCCTCACCGTAAGGAAGCGCGGGTGATGTGGGCTCCGGGTTCTGGAGGGGCTTTACCAGGCCATGGCTGCCGTCGGTGCTGGCAGAGTCTCCACGTGGCAGAGACCACGTGCGGCAGGAGGCAGCGTCCGCATCCGTCCACACCTCTCTCCCTGTCCTTATAAAGCCACGGGGATCAGACCACAGGGTCTCGACCTGAGCCACCCCTGCCAATCCAACCCCTTCCCAAAGACCCCGCCTCAGCTTCCGTCTCCTGGGAACCAGGAAGGTGGACCCTGGGGACCAAGCTGCAGAGGTCAGGGGACAGGTGTGCAAACCACCACCCCACATTTCCTGCTGAGCGCCACCTGCCCCAGAACCAGGCGTGGAGGGAGCCTGGGGCTGCCCTCCCTCCATGCCCTGCACAGGACTCTGCCTGGGACCTCTCTCCTGCCCCTGCCCTGGGCATCCTGGCTGATGGTGCAGGGACCACAGGGGACCTGCCGACCAGGTGCTGGTGGCCTCAGGACCCGCCCTCGGCCCTCTCCCTCCCCACGCCTCCTCCAGCTGTCTTGCTGGGGGCCACAGAAGTCGGTCCACCTTGTCGGTGTGGACAAAGCCAGTGCCAGCCTTGTGTTTGTCCTTCGGCAGGGCACAGCCAGACCCTAGCTGGGTGGAAGGGGAGGCCTGGTGCCCGGGACCAGGGACTCCGGTAGCAGCCGTCAGGCCGGTCACTCAGGTCAGGATCCGTCCTTAGTGGTCAAGGCTGGCGTTTGTGGGCCTTTAGACTGAAACGTCTGTTTCTATAACTCACCCAAGAAAATAGTCCAGAAGCCATCAGTATGGCTAGATGGACAGCAGCTTTCTGGAAGAGCAAAAACTTGAAAACTATCGTAATTGTCAATGTCACACAAGCCAGTGGGCCCTGAGATGGCCCCAAGCAGTCGCGGGTGCACGAGGCCCGGCACAGGGCAGAACAGCGGAGACCCCGTGCAGGCCAAACCCACAGCGGGGAGGGCCAGAGTGACGGCTCTGACTTCGTTCTCCTGCGTGGTGTCTCGGTGCCGGGTGAAGGCGGCCGCAGCGCCGGGCAGCTGTCCCAGCAGAGGGGGCCCAGCCCCCCCCACCCTACACCCCCACTGAAGGGAGGGGCTGGCCCTCACTGTTCCATCGGAGGAGGAGAGCCCTGCTCCCTCCATCCTCCCCGTGGGCAGACAAGGAACAGACTGGAGGCCGAGCCTGCAGAGCCCCAGCCCGGCAGTGGCGGGGCAGCGGCCAGGGCGTGGCTGTGGTTGTTGGTGACAGTGCAGGGCGGCGGCGTCGAGGCGAGGTGATTCCAGGTGCTGCAGATGAGAGCCTTCTGGAGGGCAGCGTGGAGGGGGGGCTGCTGCAGCCCGGCCGGCCGCTCACAACCCCCCCCCTCCTGCTTCACGCTCACAGCCCCCGCTCCGCGCTGTGACCTGGCCGGCCGCTCACGGCCCCCGCTCCGCGCTCACGGCCCCCACTCCCCGCTCACGGCTCCCGCTCCGCGCTCACGGCCCCCGCCTCGCGCTCACGGCCCCCGCCCCGCAGCTTCCTCCAGTGCCTGCTTCTGGGCCGAAGGCTGTTTCCTACACCCTGGTGACCCCACAGGCCCTGCCGGCCCCGCCCGTGCTCCTCGTGCCGAGCGTGGCCAGGAAGGTCCCCAGCAAGAAGCTGTGCCTCTCCCAGGGCGTCGCCGAGTGCCCAGCAGGTGCGCTGGGCGTCCCCCCCAGGGTGGGGGCAGAGCTGCCCTGGATGAGAACCACTGTGCAAGGATCTGCGCGACTCCCAGGTGTCAGAGGCTGGACACGGACACTTACGGCTCGGGGAGGTGAGGGGGACAGGGCTCTTTATCCACATGTACCTCCGTGTCCACCCACGCGCCGGCCTGTCCACCCACCCAGCCACCTCTGTCTCCACCCACACGCCGGCCTGTCCACCCACCCAGCCACCTCTGCGTCCACCCACACGCCGGCCTGTCCACCCATCCAGCCACCTCTGTCTCCACCCACGCACTGGCCTGTCCACCCACCCAGCCACCTCTGTCTCCACCCATCTGCCCATCAGCCCACCCAACCATGAACCCGCCCATCTTTCCATCCATCCACCCATCTGTCCACCGACCCATCCACCTGTCTGCCCACCCACATATCCACCTCTGTACCCGACCATCTATCCATCAGCCCACACAGCCATGCACCCACTCACCTACCTGTCCACCCACCTACTCATCCGTCCATCTGTCTACTCATCCATCCGTCCATCCATCCGCCCAGCCGTGCACCCACTCACCTACCTGTCCACCCACCTACTCATCTGTCCATCCATCTACTCATCCATCCGTCCATCTGTCCATCCGCCCATCTGTCTGTGCACCCACCCATCTTTCTGTCCCTCCGTCCTCCCTGAGGGAGCACCTGCTGGGTCTGAGGCTCAGCACAGACTCGTCCGATGAGAAGCGCAGGGTCAGTTTGTAAAGTGGACGCTCCTCCAAGAGCTCCCCCAGAGCTGACAGGGCTCCCTCAGGACCCCTGTGCCGCGGGGTGTGTGATGCCCCCACCTGATGTCCTGTCAGTACTTGAGCCGGGAGGGGTATGTCACCCGGAGCAAGGGACAGGAGTCTGGGGGCACTGCGGGTAGTCCCTCAGGGTGAGGTAAGAGCTGGGCCCCAAGGCAGAATGTGGCGAACACCAGAAGGAGGGGGACAAAGCAGGGGAGGACCAAGCGTGCGAGCCGAGGGCCCCCTGGCCGCAGCAGACCCCGCAGGACCTGTGCCTGCCGACAGGCCCCCCGCGATCTCAGGCTGGGGTCTGTCCCAGCTCTGGGGACCTCTGCCCGGCGAATCAGGACTCAGAAAGTGAGTGGAGGTGGCTGGAGTCCCGAGTGGATACACAGAAAGAACTGGACGTCCACTACAAGTCTCCAGTCTCCCAGCCACCGCGCCCTCTCCTGCGAGCCGCTCCAGACCCCGCTCCTTTGCAAGGTTCCGCTGCAGCCGGGTCAGCTCTGAGCCGGAGCTCAGGCTGTGCCAGCCCCAGGCGCGGCTGCTCCTGCTTCCTCCTAGCCCTGGGGTCTGGACGCACTTCCCCTCCCTCTCCCTCGGAACGCCCACACTACCCTGGACATCCAGCTGGACAGTGTCAAAGTAGGTGCCTGTCGGGAGGGGGCTGGACAGGGGCCGGTGCTCCACCCCCGCCAGTGCCCCGCAGCTCCAGGACCAAGGCCAGGGGCGAAATCCCTTAGGTGGGGCTCAGGCAGGTAACACGACCCAGTCTGTGCTGAGAACCCCCACTGGGGTTAAGCTGGGGACAAACCACACCCATCCTGCCTGCTGCCCCCTTTACACTGGGAGAGCATGGGGGTTCTCCCTACCCGGCCCCCTGAGGGGCAGGGTGTGGGCCAGGTCCTGGCTTCTCCCTGGAGGTGGGGCTGCCTGCCCCCGGGGTCTGGGTGGGTGTGTTGTCTTTAGTGAGCAGCCGGCTTGCTGGGGCTCCGTGCTTGGAAGCCAAGTCGGGCCACTTTCCTGCCGGCCCTCGCTCGCTCTCCCCTGAGCCCACCCCATCTGTAGCCCACACAGGAAGTGCCTGCAGCAGCTGGGAACCTCCAGGAACACTGGGCAGCGGAGGGAGCCCTGGACGCAGTGTCCTGTCTGCACCGCAGCCGGCCCCTGACTGCCGGAGTGACCCGGATGGCCTGCCCCACTGTGTCCGCCTGGCCCCTGACTGCCGGAGTGACCCGGATGGCCTGCCCCACTGTGTCCACGTGGCCCCTGACCGCCGGAGCGACCCGGATGGCCTGCCCCACTGTGTCCGCCTGGCCCCTGACCACTGGAGTGACCCGGATGGCCTGCCCCACTGTGTCCGCCTGGCCCCTGACCACTGGAGTGACCCGGATGGCCTGCCCCACTGTGTCCGCCTGGCCGTAGCAGAGCAACATTGCCAGAGCAGAAGAGGGTGGTGTGGACAGAGCAGAGCCCACCCCCACCCCCATCCATACCGGGGCTGTGCGGACCCCTGTGTGCACGTCAATGCGCTGCCCTTTGAGGTCAGGGCCTTGTGGGCACAGCAGCCCAGCCGTTCCTCCTGCCGGGGTCTGACCTCGCACCCCCGCCACATGTGGTTCCAGGCGGTGAAGCCACTGGCACCTGCTCCGCCCTTCACGGGGCTGGGGGCAGCCTCCCGACCTGGGTCCGTGGGGGCTGCACCTTCCCCTCCCGTCCCAGTGTGTCGAAGGGCTCTGTCCTGGAGCCCCCGGGGGCCCTGCCACCCCAGCCCAGGGCGGAAGCTAAGTCCACGTACCCCGACAGCCCAGCAAAGTTCTCCCAGCTGCTGCTGGCCGAGGCACCCCGGGGAACTCTGCCTCACAGGGACTCCTCTGGTGGGGGCCGTGCCTGGGGTCCCCGGAACAGAGAGGGCCTGGAGAAGCCGGCACAGACCCTGCCGGACGAGGCCAGCTGGCGTCGCGAGGCCGGGCACCTTCCCCCCGGCTCGGGTGAGGAGCCTCAGGGCCCCCGCACCTCAGGGCCTCGCCTCCCACCTCCCCAGTCCGCCCCGGACTCTGTGACTCCGGGTGCTCTCTGGGGCTCGGGCTGGAATGACAACAAACGAGTTCAGAAAAGCAGCTCCCGTGTTTTACGAAAGAACCGGCTTTCCCCGTGCCCAGGCCGGGGCTTTCACCCACCCCACCCCCACAGCGTCAGTGGGGGAGGGCAGCAGGGGGCCGGGGGCCTGCCCACCGTGGGAAGAGCCCCCTCCTGCAGGCCAGCGTGGAGCAGGCCAGGCATCGCCGGTGGCCCGTGCCGGTGTCATCCACCGGGAGCTGGCCTGAGCCGGTGCCTGTGGCATCGCCCTGCCTCTGGTGACCCTCAAGCAGGACGACCTCTGCCCGGACACCCACTCAGCCTGCCGCCGGTCAGGGGAACCCGAGCTGGGGCGGCAAAGCGGCCCTGTGCCCGTTCGCCAGCTTCCACCAGCGTGGTCTGCACCTGCCCACCTGGCACACGGGAGGCGGGGAGGGAACTGGCTAGAAGCATCCAAAGACTGAGGCCCAGACCCCAGCACTCGGTCTCCAACCGGAGAACAAAACTCCACCGGGACCAGGGTCCTGCCCTGTCCCAGAGACCCCCTGGAATTCCTTGCCCGCGAGGACGGAGGTGCCCCTCAGCGGGCAGCAGCACCCTGGAGGAGGGAAGGGGTCTCCTCCCCAGGCCCAGGCGGGAGGGACGTCCAGCGTGGGGGGGCGTGGCCTGCCGCCCCCACGGTCAGCTAAGGCGGGGCTGGGGCCCGTCTGGGAGGGGCCGTCAGAGCTCGTTGTGCAGGGGCCGGCACTGGGGTGAGAGCTTTCCCTCCAGGACGCCGTCGGGGGCGCACACCCAGGGGTCATGGGTCTCCCACTGCCACTTGGCCAGCCGGGCCTTCAGCAGGTCCAGGACCTGGGCGAAGCGTGGGTCGCCGGCCCGGTTGCAGGTCTCGCGGGGGTCCTGGCTGTGGTCGTACAGCTCCCAGCGGTCCCGGTAGTAGTAGTGGTGCAGGTCTGTGTACCAGCCGGTGGGCTGGCCGGCCACGCTGCGGTTCAGCAGGTCCTGGAAGGTGGGCGACACGTACAGGTCCTGGTCGATGGGGAAAGGCGTCCTGAAGCCCAGGTTGTGCACCAGGCGGAGGCCCCGCTGGAACACGGAGCGCATAGGGTAGGACATGGTGACCTCGTGGTAGCTCTGGCTGCCGAAGACGGTGTCCCACGGGGGCTCGGCCTCCAGTGCTGGCAGAAGGGACCGGCCCGTGAGCTGGACGGTCTTCGAGCCAAAGATGGCATAGCTGGGGTAGGGGATGGAGAACCAGTCCAGGATGGTGGGCGTGAGGTCTGCAAAGGAAGCGGCGGCTCGGCAGCCGGCTCCGGGAGGGCTGAGCAACCACCGCACTGCCCCACCACCACCAGGGGGCGCTGCCTCGACTGGCGCCTCTCACGCCAGCCCTGCAGGGACAGCCAGGGGCCCCCACCTGGTGACACTGAGGACCAGAAAGGAAGCCCTCAGGCAGGCAGGGCCCTGGCGTGGGGCCTGAGGGGAAGGCTGACCCTGAGCCGGGGAGGGGGGTGCACGGTCCTGGGGGCCGGCTGGACTGGAAGCTCGCGCAGCCTCTCCCAGGGTCTCCCACACCCGTGATTCTGTCTGCTCATCTCCACGTGGGCCTTCGCTCAGAGGAAGGCATAGCAGGGTGCAGTGGTTGTCAAAGTGGGGTCCCCGGGCCCACAGCATCGGCACCCCCAGGAACTCGTCAGACAAGCGGAAGCTCAGGACTGCCCAGATCCGGGGCCTGCGGTGTGGAGTGCACGGGCATCCAGGTGGCCCTGCTGCCGCTCTGTGGGGTCACGGGCACTCCAGGGGGCCCTGCTGCCGCTCTGTGGGGGCACGGGCACTCCAGGGGGCCCTGCTGCCGCTCTGTGGGGGCACAGGCACTCCAGGGGGCCCTGCTGCCGCTCTGTGGGGTCACGGGCATCCGGGGGGCCCTGCTGCCACTCTGTGGGGTCACGGGCATCCAGGGGGCCCTGCTGCCGCTCTGTGGGGTCACAGGCATCAAGGGGGCCCTGCTGCCGCTCTGTGGGGGCACAGGCACTCCAGGGGGCCCTGCTGCCGCTCTGTGGGGTCACGGGCACTCCAGGGGGCCCTGCTGCCCCTCTGTGGGGGCACAGGCACTCCAGGGGGCCCTGCTGCCGCTCTGTGGGGTCACGGGCATCCGGGGGGCCCTGCTGCCACTCTGTGGGGTCACGGGCATCCAGGGGGCCCTGCTGCCGCTCTGTGGGGTCACAGGCATCAAGGGGGCCCTGCTGCCGCTCTGTGGGGGCACAGGCACTCCAGGGGGCCCTGCTGCCACTCTGTGGGGTCACGGGCACTCCAGGGGGCCCTGCTGCCCCTCTGTGGGGGCACAGGCACTCCAGGGGGCCCTGCTGCCGCTCTGTGGGGTCACGGGCATCCAGGTGGCCCTTCTGCCCCTCTGTGGGGGCACAGGCATCCAGGTGGCCCTGCTGCCCCTCTGTGGGGTCACGGGCATCCAGGGGGCCCTGCTGCCGCTCTGTGGGGGCACGGGCATCCAGGGGGCCCTGCTGCCGCTCTGTGGGGGCACGGGCAGCTGTCTGGAGGTGAGACCCTGGCCAGCACCCAGGGTGCTGCTGTCACTCTCGGGGTCCCATTCTTCTGCGCCCGCCCCCTCCTCAGCCAGGGAGCCGAGGACCCCCTCCCGCCATCCCGGCCATACCTAGGAGGCTCACGTAGGCCTCGCTGACCTGGCCCCAGCGGCGCGGGTGCTCGGGGGACGACACCAGCAAGGGCTCGGCGGTCCCCGGCCAGTACAGGTTGGTCCTGCCGCTGGGGAAGGGGATGCCGTTGTCGGACGTGAAGATGACCAGGGTGTCGTTCAGGACACCGGCTTCTCGCAGCTCCTGGAGCACCAGGCCGACCCCTGTGGCGGGGGCGGGGCAAGGGCTCGGTCAGAGACCCAGGCGGAGACCCGTGCACGGGTTCCCTGCTCCGGCCGGTGGACGCCAACTTTTGGGACCTTATAAATCCCTGAGGTCCTTCCAGGCCCAGACCCCAGGCCCACTCCCCATCCTGGGGCACACGACCTCCAGGCATCTCAGCACTCTATGATTTTTAACTTGGAAGGGAGAGAGAGGGAGAGGGAGAGGGAGAGAGAGAGAGAGAGAGAGAGAGAGATCTTCCATCTGCTGGTTCACTCCCTAAGTGCCTGCAACAGCCAGGGGTGGGCCAGTCCGAAGCCAGGAGCCCGGAGCTCCATCCTGGCCTCCCGTCGGGTGGCAGAGGCCCAGGCGCTTGGGTCAGCACCCGGACCGTGAGGGGACCTGGTTTGCAGATACACTCAGTCAAGGATCTCAGCACCAGGGCATCCTGAAGAGCCCAGGCGGGCCCCAGACCCCGTGAGGGTTAAGCCACCAGGACAAGGGTCCCAACACGACAAAGAGGGGGCCGGCGCTGTGGTGCAGCGGGTAAAGCCTCAGCCTGCAGTGCCGGCATCCCTTGTGGGTGCCAGTTTGAGTCCGGGGTGCTCCACTTCCCATCCAGCTCCCTGCGAACGTGTCTAGGAGGGCACAGCAAGGCAGCCCCAGTGCCTGGGGCCCTGCACCCACGTGGGAGACCAGGATGGAGACGAGAGAGCAGCACGCGGGGGAGGGGACAGAGGTGGGAGTAGCTCAGCTGCAAGGAGCCCCAGAGCCCCCCGGGGCTGGGAGAGGAGGGGCAGGGGCCTCCCTGAGCCGGGGGAGCGACAGCCCCCACCTTGACGTCAGGCCTCCGGCCTGCAGGACCGTGAGCTCCTCTCTGTTGTGAGCACCCCAGTCTTACTGTGGCTCCTGTTACGGCCACAACGGGAACTGGCCTCCACCCCCGCCAAGTTCTGCATATGCCTCACCTGGGGAACCCCACGCCAGCTCCTGCGGCTGGGAGCATGTTCCGAGCCTGCACCCTGCCTCTGGGGCACACAGAGGCCCCAGCCCAGGGGCAGCGGGGTCCCGGCACAGCCCCAGGCCGAGGTCTCGACGCCAGCCCCGAGGCAGGGGCTGCCGTGCCCCCAACACCCGGCTGCTTCTCCGAACCCAGCCCCGGCACAGGGCCTTGCCCACGAGCCCCACCTCACGCTGCCCCTGGTAGGAGCTCCCTGGGCTGGGCCTGAGCCAGCCGGCACCCCGTGCCCGGATCTGTGGGCCCACCTTGGTCCATGCGGCCGATGGTGGTGTACTGGGCGGCTAGGTCGGCTCGGGCTGCCGGCGTGTCAGGGACGAAGTAAGGGACCTGGGGAGAGCCGGGGGCTCAGAGGAGGAGTCAGTGGGAGGGGAGGGGCGCCCGGCCCCGGAGCTGAGGGAGCAGACGGAGGCCGGCCAGGGCCCACGACCTCCTCCTCCTCCTCCTCCTGTGAACAGAGGAGCCCAGAGTGGGGTCTCCCTGGATGCCTGCTTCCACCTGCTGCTGATTCTCAGGGTCTCTCCCGACACGAGCTGGGGCGAGGGCTGTCAGCTCAGGGGCGGGGCCAGGTGCCCGGGTCTGGGACTGGCCAGGGCCCCACCTACCAGGACATCCTGGGGGTCGTAGGTCTGGGGGGTCCAGTCCGGGATGCGCCCCATGCCACTCTCCCCGTTGCCGAACTTCTCGCAGAAGGCTCCGTACTGAGGCTGGGAGTGCCCACAGCGGTGGGGGTCGTGGAAGGCCACGTAGAGGAAGAAAGGCCTGTAGGGGGCATGGGGGGGCTCGGTGCCCAGGTCCAGGTCCGGGTGGGCCAGCGTGCCCCCCACTGCTCCCCACTGTCGACCTCACCTGTGACCCACGCTGCCTGTGTCCCCAAGTCCCCCCTTCCTGACGCGACCCCGGGACGGCGCCAGCCGCCTCCTCGCACCTGCCCTCATCCTGGGTCTGCAGGAACTTCCGGACCAGCAGCTTCATGCGTGTGATGTTGCGGCCCACCTGGAGGACGGAGCCGTTCTCCTCCGTGTAGGCAAAGTCGAAGGGGAACACTGCCTCCGGCCCTACATGCTTCTTCCCGATGATGCCTGCGGGAGGGTGAGATGCCGGCCAGAGGCCCCTCGGCTCCCTGCCCCACCCCAGGCCTCCTCTCCCGGCAGGGCCAGGCACGGGGCCCCCAGGCTTCAGCCTCCGCGGCGGAGCTCACCTGTGCGCACGCCGGCCTGGCGGAGCAGCAGCGGCAGGCTCCGCACCTTGTCGAAGGAGCTGAAGTGGTGCAGGTCCTGGTGCAGCCCGTACATGCCGTTCTGGTGCTGCGGGCGAGGACTCGTGAGCCCCGGCCTCTCTCCCACGGCTGGGCCAGCCTTGGGGTGACCGGCACCCTGGAGAGCCCCTGTGCCCCAGGAGGCCCTGAGCTGCCCTCGGCGAGAGCAGCAAGGGGCGGGGTCTGGAGCGACGGAGGCGAGCGCTGCGGGCACTTCCAGCTTCCTCTCTGCTGGCCTCTCCTCTCCCACTTGCTGTTAGGACCACACAAGGTGCGGCGAGGACAGAGCCAGGTCCCTTTCGTGGCCTGTTTTACCTTGTCAAAGACATCGCTGACCCTTGCGACGCCCACTATTTAGGGGCCCGCGTGGTGGCGCAGTTGAGCTGCTGCCTGCGGCACTGGCAGCCACTGCGAGCCTGGGCTCCAGGCCGGCTGCTCCACTCCCGAGCCAGCTCCCTGCTAGTGCGCCTGGGAAAGCAGCGGGAGACGCGGGCCCTGCACCCGCGTGGGAGACCTGGATTTACCTCCTGGCTTCAGCCTGGCCCTGCCTCAGCCATAGTGGCCATTTGGGGAGTGAACCGGTGGTTGGAAGACTCTCTCTGTCTCTCTCTCCCTATCTCTATCCCTATCCCTCTGCCTTCCAAAAAAAAAAAAAAAAAAAAATCTTACAAAAACTCTGCCACTGTTTAGAGGTGAGGGAAGGGCTCCCGCTCGGGCCCCAGCCCACTGCCCAGACGTGGCTGCTCCCCTCCCCACGGCTCGCCTGCATCTCAGTCTCTTGGATTGGGACGCGCGGGCAGAGCACGCTTGTCCATGGTAACGTAACAGAACGCGCATGGCAGCCAACAAGTGCAAGTGACCGAGGGTTCCAAACAGACGGACGGGGAGCAGCCACACAGGCCGGGAGCGCGACGCCTGCTGCAGCCTGGAGCAACCCGATGGGCACAGGGCACGAACGGCAGGACTCACGCGAGGTCGCTAGAGCAGCCACACGCCCAGGCAGGAAGCAGGTCGGGGTTGCGGGCCGAGCCCCCAGTCCCTGAGGCGGCACCCGGAGGACTGGGCCCCGGCGCCGCCCTGCAGCACCCTCACCTGGGGCAGGCCGGTGAGGAGGCTGGCGCGGCTCGGGGAGCAGCTGCTGACGGAGGTGAAGGCATTGCGGAAGACGAGGCTGCGGCGGGCCAGGGCGTCCAGGTGAGGGGTGACGATGGCGCTGTTGTTGTAGGCGCCGATCTCAAAGCCGCCATCGTCCGCTGTGGGGGGACAGAGAGGACCAGCGGGCGGGGGTCAGGGGGAAGAGCCTCTCATGGAAGGGGGCCTGTGGCCCTGCAGCAAAGGCCCACGCTGGCACACCTGGAGAGCAGGTGTCCAGGTGGGCACTGTGCCCAGGGGCAGCAGGGGGGTACAACGCCAGGAGAACAGGTGTCCAGGTGGGCACTGTGCCCGGGGGCAGCAGGGGGACACGACACCAGGAGAACAAGGTGTCCAGGTGGGCACTGTGCCCGGGGGCAGCAGGGGGACACGACACCCAGGAGAACAAGGTGTCCAGGTGGGCACTGTGCCCGGGGGCAGCAGGGGGACACGACACCAGGAGAACAAGGTGTCCAGATGGGCACTGTGCCCGGGGGCAGCAGGGGGACACGACACCAGGAGAACAAGGTGTCCAGGTGGGCACTGTCCCCGGGGGCAGCAGGGGGGCACGACACCAGGAGAACAGGTGTCCAGGTGGGCACTGTCCCCGGGGGCAGCAGGGGGGCACGACACCAGGAGAACAGGTGTCCAGGTGGGCACTGTGCCCGGGGGCAGCATTCCCAGGGCACCCATCAGCAAGGACACAACACCCAGGAGAACAAGATGTCCAGGTGGGCACTGTGCCCGGGGGCAGCAGGGGGGCACAACACCAGGAGAACAGGTGTCCAGGTGGGCACTGCGCCCGGGGGCAGCAGGGGGACACAACACCAGGAGAACAAGGTGTCCAGGTGGGCACTGTGCCCGGGGGCAGCAGGGGGACACGACACCCAAGAGAACAAGGTGTCCAGGTGGGCACTGTGCCCGGGGACAGCAGGGGGACACGACACCAGGAGAACAAGGTGTCCAGGTGGGCACTGTGCCCGGGAGCAGCAGGGGGACACGACACCCAGGAGAACAAGGTGTCCAGGTGGGCACTGTGCCCGGGGGCAGCAGGGGGACACGACACCAGGAGAATAAGGTGTCCAGATGGGCACTGTGCCCGGGGGCAGCAGGGGGACACGACACCAGGAGAACAAGGTGTCCAGGTGGGCACTGTCCCCGGGGGCAGCAGGGGGGCACGACACCAGGAGAACAGGTGTCCAGGTGGGCACTGTGCCCGGGGGCAGCATTCCCAGGGCATCTGTCAGCAAGGACACGACATCCAGGAGAACAAGGTGTCCAGGTGGGCACTGTGCCAGGGGGCAGCAGGGGGACATGACACCAGGAGAACAAGGTGTCCAAGTGGGCACTGTGCCCGGGGGCAGCATTCCCAGGGCACCCATCAGCAAGGACACAACACCCAGGAGAACAAGATGTCCAGGTGGGCACTGTGCCCGGGGGCAGCAGGGGGGCACAACACCAGGAGAACAGGTGTCCAGGTGGGCACTGCGCCCGGGGGCAGCAGGGGGACACAACACCAGGAGAACAAGGTGTCCAGGTGGGCACTGTGCCCGGGGGCAGCAGGGGGACACGACACCCAAGAGAACAAGGTGTCCAGGTGGGCACTGTGCCCGGGGACAGCAGGGGGACACGACACCAGGAGAACAAGGTGTCCAGGTGGGCACTGTGCCCGGGGGCAGCAGGGGGACACGACACCAGGAGAACAAGGTGTCCAGGTGGGCACTGTGCCCGGGGGCAGCAGGGGGGCACAACACCAGGAGAACAGGTGTCCAGGTGGGCACTGTGCCCGGGGGCAGCAGGGGGACACGACACCCGGAGAACAAGGTGTCCAGGTGGGCACTGTGCCTGGGGGGCAGCAGGTGGGCACAACACCCAGGTGGGCACTGTACCGAGGGGGTGGCACACCTGTAGCCGACATGACACCCAGGTGGGCACTGCACTGAGGGGGTAGCACCCCTGTAGCCGACACGACACCCAGGTGGGCACTGCACCGAGGGGGTGGCACACCTGTAGCCGACACGACACCCAGGGGGACACTGTACTGAGGGGGTGGCACACCTGTAGCTGACACGACACACAGGGGGACACTGCAGCGAGCAGGCCTGACACCTGGCCGGGTGTCGTCAGCAGGGATGGAGCCCAGCGAACATGACTGCTGGGTGGGCACGGTCACAGCAGGCATGGGGCGGGGGCAGGCACAACGCTCAGGCACTCCTGATGTCTGCACAGGCTGGCATTCACCGAGCAGCGTCGCCAGCGTCAGACGCAGCCAGGACAGCGGGCACAGCCAGGACAGCGGGCACAGGCCTCCCAGCTCCCAACCACACCAAGCTTCCTCCTGGTGCAATGTTAAGGCCAACGCCTCCTTCAGGGGCACCGGGGTCCCCTCAGGGGGACGGAGCCTCCAGCTGGGACCCATGGGGCGTGAGCTGGGGCAGCCCGGCAGGCGGAGGGTGGGCGTGGAGGTAGTGGGTGTGCACCCTGCTGCCCCTCCAAACCTGCTCGGGGGCGTCAGCACCTGCTACGGGGAGACCTGTGTCCTCCCCAAACTCCCATGGGAGCCCAGACCCAGTGCGACTGTATCAGGAGACAGGGTCTTTAACTAGGGTGGCCGGGAGGCCTCAGCCCAGTGGGACTGTGGCCACAGAGGAGGGAGGGGGCCCACGCTGTGGTGTGGGGGGTGAAGCCTCCCACCCTCGGCCTGCAGCGCCGGCATCCCATGTGGGCTCCACTTCCGATCCCGCTCCCTGCTGATGCACCTGGGAAAGCCGTGGAGGATGGGCCAGGGCCCCTGCACCCCCGCGGGACCCAGAGGACGCTCCTGGCTCCTGGCTCCTGGCTCCTGCGGCCATTGGGGAAGTGAACCTGAGGATGGAAGCTCCTGTCCCTGTGTCTCCCTTTCTGTCTGTACCTCTGCCTTTCAAATAAATGAAATAAATTTAAAATAAATAAACTGAACCAGAGGGAGCCCGGCGGCGAGCCGGGACGGGTAGCAGCGCTGTCCGTCTCACAGCCGCGAGGTAATCAGGGCGGCTGGCCGCGCGCCAGACCTCAAGGGGGAAGAATCGCAGCGGCCGGCACCCACAGCGGAAGTCGCTCTGCAGCCCGGGGAGCCGGGGCGCAGGGGCCACGGCCGCAGGGGCGCGGGAGGGGACCCCCGCCGGCGGACTCAAGCCAAGAGCTGCAGGGGGTCGGGCCGCAGGGCGGGGCGGCCGGCGCGGGGGACAGCAGCTGTCCGCAGAGGGCTGACCGCGGGCTGCCCACACTCACCGAGGATGAGCAGCGCGCTCCGAGGACGCGCCCGGCACAACCCCAGCGAGAGAAGCAGCGCGCAGCACGCCGACCACAGGCTGGGCATGGCGACCGCGGCGGCGACTCCGGCCCGGGCCCGGCCACGCCCCCGCGTCACGTGCGCCAAAGCCCCGCCTCGTCGAGCCCAGGGGCTCCGGCTCGGCCACGCCCCCGGTCACGTGCTCCAAGGCCCCGCCCCGCTCCCCTCGGGCAGTGATTCCTGCGGACCGGGCTGCGGTGCCGGGGCGGGGGTGAGTCCGTGGCCCGCGCCGAGAGGGGAGCAGACCCCGGGAGTGGGAGGTGGTCCGGGCCGGTGCGGGCTCGCCGGGGATGTGGTGCTTTCCGTGGGTGCCCCCACCGCCTGCGGGGACCCGCACCGCGTCCGCAAGGCCCTGGGCCGGCGGCGCCGTCCGGAGTGGAGTTTGCCCGGAGCAGTAACGCGGGGGGCAGGGGCGGGAAGGGCGGCCCGGGGCGGGCGGGGGCCGGGGCCGCCAGGACCCCGAGGGTGCTGAGCACCTGAACCAGAGGCGCGCGGTGGGGGGTGGGGGACTGATGCTCTCCCGGGCGCCTGGGGGCGTCGAGAGCCACAGGTGGGCGCCGGGTAAGACCCCTCCAGGGCCGCAGTCCGCCCTCGACTCGGGACTCCCCGGGTTTCTCGGGGGCCCCCTGGTACCCGCACCCCGACACACGCACAAGCTCCGGGCAGCTGGGTGAGGCTGGGCTGCCCCGGGGCCCTGGCTCGCCCTGCGCTGCTCGTCTGTTACGTCCGGGAGGGCTGAGGCGGGAGCGACCTGGGTGTGATTAGTTCGTGCAGGTTCTTACCTGTGAACCCTGGTGTGGAGGGAGAGGCCCGCAGCTGTGGGCAGGTGGGATTCGGGGCTGCACATGGTGGGGGTCAGGGCTCCCTCTGCACAGGTGGCTGGCGTCCTCTCTAGCCTGGGGGCTTTAAGTCTTCTGGGTCCCCCGGGGCAGAGTGGGGGAGACACCTGGTATTGCTGGGTTCTCTGAAACCCAGGCCCTGGTCCACGCCCCCAGGCCCGCCCTACAGAAGCCCCCTGCGGTGCCAGCTCCAGCATGGCCCCCCACCCCTGCTGCTGCTCCCCCGGCGCGGTGCGGCGGAGGCTGCCGCTCCTGGCCTGGCTGCCCCGGTACTCTGTGCAGTGGCTGAAGATGGACTTCATCGCCGGGCTGTCCGTGGGACTCACAGTCATTCCCCAGGCGCTGGCCTATGCTGAAGTGGCCGGACTCCCTCCCCAGGTGAGGCGCTGCCCCGTCCCGTCCCCTCCCCACGGTCTGGCCCCAGCGCCTGGCCCCAGCACGGTAGCATGCCACCGGTTCCAGGTACCTTCAGCCGCCCCAGGGTCCAGCCTGGGGCCCGAGGAACCTTGGTTTATGATCCGAAGCTTGTGACTGCCTTGGGCGGGTGTCACCTCCTTGTCACCGGTGCTGAGCTGGTTCTGGGTCAGCGAGGCGACTCAGGGTGACCTTGAGACGGTGACATACGCATTGAGGCCTTTGCGCACTGGCCCCCTACGCCTGCCCAGGGTGCGTTCCGGGAGGGAGAAGCAGGTCCACCGTGGTGGCTAAGAGAAGGGGCCCGTGCCCGGCCGCAGGCCTGGGGCGCTCACCGCCGCCTGTCCCCGCAGTACGGCCTCTACTCCGCCTTCATGGGATGCTTCGTGTACGTCGTCCTGGGCACCTCGCGGGACGTGACCCTGGGCCCCACGGCCATCATGTCCCTGCTGGTGTCCTTCTACACCTTCCACGAGCCCGCCTACGCCGTGCTGCTGGCCTTCCTGTCCGGGTGCATCCAGCTGGCCATGGGCCTCCTGTGCTTGGGTGAGACTCTGCCTTCCTGCCCAGGCGCCCGCCTCTGGGGGTGCCCCCGCCCTCCCGCTCTGCATCCCGAGGGCTGTCCCTGTGTGCGTGTCGGGGGTGGGGGCCCCCAGCCCTCTCTGTCCAGCTGAGAGCCTGGCACACACAGCAGAGTGACCAGGGCCTCAGACCCGGGTCTCCTTCCCTGCCCCCAAACCGCAGCCCAGATAGGCTGCGTTGCTCATCAGTCCGTGCCCCCCAGCCCTCCCCACCACCACACCACTGCTCCCAGAGCCATGTCCACCCTGCCCTGGAGCTGGGTGGAGCTGGAAGCGGCTTAGTGTCCCCTCCTGGCCGGCCAGGCTTCCTGCTGGACTTCATCTCCTGCCCAGTCATCAAAGGCTTTACCTCTGCTGCCGCCGTCACCATTGGCTTCGGGCAGATCAAGGTAGGCCGGGTGCCCACGCGTGGCGTCACCCAGACGTGGCCGGGAGCTGGGCCTCTGTGACCCTGATGTTTGTGGCCGGTGGAGGGTCGAGGCTCATGCGGTCTCTCCTGGGTCCTCGGTCACTCACAAGCCCCTTCTGGGAGGTGTCGTGTGAGGGTCAGATTTTGCAGCAGGGAGTTTGGGGGCGGCCACCACAGCCCTGCCCTTGCCCGCGTTGTCGCCGGTGCCCGGTGCCTTCCCCGGTGGTGCCGTCCGGCCAGCTTTGTGCGCACACGACCCCGGCCTCACCCTGCCGGGAGTCCCACAAGCAAACAGTGTCCGTGAGCGCTTGGTGGGGTGACGTTTTACGTTTCGTCCGATTCCTGCTGGGTTTCTCGGTGAGGCGCCCATGAGAAGAGCGAGGGCAGGCAGGGTCACTTACCCCACGTGGGTGGAGGGGGTGGGTGACACACGTGCAGGCAGGGGGGGCAGCTCCACAGAGGGGGCCTCACCCCCGCCTCGGGGCCCCCTCCCACCCCCCCGCGAGGCTGCCTGGGCTGCAGGTGGGTCTGGGCGGGGTCCCTGGTGGAGGCAGCTGAGCCCGTGTGTCTGCAGCTGGCCAGTTCTGCACGCTCACTGCGCACCACACCGGGCTGAACCCCCGTGGGTTTCACTCTTGCTGTTAGGGAGGGGCCAGAGACCAGCGTGGGGGGGGGGACGGAGGAAGCCAGAGACCAGCGTGGGGGGGGGGGGGATGGAGGAAGCCAGAGACCAGCGTGTGAGGGGAGGGGCCAGAGGAAGCCAGAGACCAGCGTGGGGGGGGGGGCGGAGGAAGCCAGAGACCAGCGTGGGGGGGGCGGAGGAAGCCAGAGACCAGCATGTGGGGGGAGGGGCCAGAGACCAGCGTGGGGGGGGAGGGGCTGGAGGAAGCCAGAGACCAGCGTGGGAGGGGGGCGGAGGAAGCCAGAGACCAGCGTGGGGGGGGGGGGGCTGGAGGAAGCCAGAGACCAGTGTGGGGGGGTCCTGCAGAGAGGAGAGGAGCAGCCTCAGCAGCCAGTCCTGCCCATACCCCAGCAACTTTCCAGGGGGTCCCGGCCTCCCCCCAAGGAAGGCACCCCAAGAGAATCCTGTCTGCCCAAAGCCGAGTGGGCTCCCCGGCCTGGTAACACGGGGCAGTGGACACTCGGGAGGAATCGCACCTGTGTCACACCCCGCGTGCCCTTTGTCCAGCAGAACAGGAGAGGGAGGAAGACCTGGGTCCCGCTCCCTTGCAGACCCCAGGCTGAGCATGACGGCACCCCCGCCCTTGCTGACCGCCCCCTGCCGCTCAGGGCAGCCTGTTGAGCGTGGTCGGCTGGCACACCCAGTCTCAGTGGCTGGGCGCTGCCTCTCACATCCGTCTGCTCTCACGGATGCCGGCCACCACACGTGGCTGCCTTGCTTTGGGCTTGGCCAGGTGGGGTCGGAGAGCCCAGGAGGCCCTGGGTCGGGGTCGGGCTCCAGGGCAGAGGGCAGGAAGGAGGGCCGGGAAGCTGACCGGAACTCTGTCCCGACAGAACCTCCTGGGACTGCAGGACATCCCCAGGCAGTTTTTCCTGCAGGTGTACCGCACCTTCCTCAGCATTGGGGAGACCAGGTACCTGCGGCCCCGCCCCCGCCCCGTGGCACTGTCCCTCCCTTCTGGGGCCAAAGCAGCACCGTCCGTCACCCGGGAGCAGGTCAGAAGGACAGACTCGAGTCGGGGCAGCGTTTTAACCGGGCCCAGGTGGCTCCTGTGTGCCCTGAGCCTGAGCAGCTCTGCCCAGGGGAGCCCGAGGGCCTGGACGCCCTCCGCTCCTGGGAGGAGAGGGCCGAAGGGAGGAGCAGGCGCCCGTCTCGCCCGAGGCCACGGAGTGGGCAGCTGGAGCCTGACAAGAGCCGGAGGGCCCGGAGTGCCTGTAGGAAGCGCCCCCTCGGAGGGTTTAAACCAGCAGCCACGGGGAGGGGGTTTCTCCCTCTCCTACCTCCCTGCGCCCAGGGGGTCCTGGTGCTGATGCCTGAAAGAAAGGGGGGGGACTGGGCCATCTCGTCCTGCCCTCTGATCTGGAGCTGGGGATGCCCGGATGAATGGAGCTAGGAACTGGCAGCTTCCCTGCCTGCTGGGGCTGGGGGCAGCCTCCTGGGGGGGGAGGTGGAAGGACCCCACCCAATCCAAAGTCTTTCTGAGCAGACAGGGGCATCTGTAGTCCCGAGACCCACGGTGTGGAAAACACAGGCTGGTGGCAGCCCTGGGCTCTCGACTCCCAGTCCTGCCCCGCCTGCGGGATGGAGTAGGGATGCCGACAGCCTGGGGGAGGCAGGAAAAGCAGCGAGAGCGCCCTCTGCCTGCAGGGTGGGGGACGCCGTCCTGGGCCTGGCGTGCATGCTGCTGCTGGTCGCCCTGAAGCTGATGCGGGACCACATGCCCCCCGTGTACCCCGGGATGCCCCTCCGGGTGCGGCTCAGCCACGGGCTGGTGTGGACGGCCGCGACAGGTGAGGGGTCTTCTCAGCGTGCCCCCGGGCTCTGGGGGGCCCCCAGGGCACGGCCTGGGCGCTGGGAGAACTGGGGGTCTGTGTGCAGTAAGCCCTCAGCAGAGGCGATCTCGCTCCCCGGGGGACCATTCGGGGAGGCCCCGCCCCCCACGTGGGCAGTGCTGAGGGTGCGAGAGATCAGTCCCTCGGGCCAGAGGTTCTGTTCCTCTTTCTTTTATTTCTTTTTGTTCTTTTTGGAAGATTTATTTATGTATTTGAAGCTCAGAGTTACAGAGAGGTCTTCCATCCGCTGTTTCACTCCCGGGTTGGGCCAGACCGAAGCTAGGAGCCAGGAGCTTCTTCCTGGTCTCCCACGTGGGTGCAGGGGCCCAAGCACTTGGGCCATTTGCTGCTCTCCCAGGTGCATTAGCAGGGAGCTGGGTGGGAAGTGGATTAGCCGGGACTTGAACCGGCACCTGTATGGGATGCTGGCATGGTCGGCATCGGCTTTACCCACCGCGCCGGCCCCCCGGGGTTCTGTTCTGATTGTGCACTTACGGGGGAAAGCTCTGCTCTGGGCGGGCGTCTGCAGCCAGGGTCACGGTGAGGAGAGGCTGCCGGGGAGGCCCTGGGCGGGCTGCAGGGGCCACGGCGAGGCCATCGGCTCCCTGCGTCCTGCGCTGTGGTTGCCAGGTGTGCCCGGAGCTGCCCTGCCTAAGGAGGAGGGCGTGACGGGAAGGCGGGGGAGGCGAGTGTGGCTCCCAGGGGGCCGTGCCTGCCGGGCCGGGCTTCACCGGAGCCTCCCCCGTCCCAGCCCGCAACGCCCTGGTGGTCTCCTGTGCTGCCCTGGTCGCGTACTCCTTCGAGCTGACCGGACACCAGCCTTTCGTCCTCACCGGAGAGACGGCCGAAGGGCTCCCTCCAGTGCGACTCCCTCCCTTCTGGGTGACCACTGCCAACAGGACAGTCTCCTTCGCCGAGATGGTGCAGGTGGGCAGGGATGGGAACCGGGACAGCGTGAGCCCCCTGCCTGATGGGCGTGGGGGGCCGAGTGCAGGTGGGACTGCCCCGTGCTCAGCAGGGGGCGTCTGACTGCCCCAGGCCCCGGGGTGTTTGTCCTGGCTGGGAGCTGGGGATAGACCTGCGGGAGCCCAGGGGGGCGGGGTGGGTGCGCTGGCTCTGGTCGGACGGGGGGAGCGGTGACCGCCCCTCTGCCTGGCCAGACCCGTGCTCTGCTTCCCGCGTCGGGAAAGCCGCTCATCCTGTCCCTGTCTCCTCTCAGGACATGGGGGCTGGGCTGGCTGTGGTGCCCCTGGTAGGCCTCCTGGAGAGCATCGCAGTGGCCAAAGCCTTTGGTGAGACGCCCATGCCCCGCCCTGCAAGGTCCCCAAGCCCCACACCCAGCAGGACGCCCACCGCCCACCCCCTGCCTTGCTGGGTCCCCACAGCCCCACTGGGTCCCCACCCCGCACCCAGCACAGCACCCACTGCCCCCACCCTGCAGGACCCCCATGCCCTGTTCCCAGCAGGATACCCACTGCCCATGCCCCCGCCCTGCTGGGTCCCCACAGCCCCACCCAGCACAATACCCACTGCCCCCGCCCTGCAGGGTCCCCAGACCCCACACTTAGGACGCCCACTGCCCAGTAGGACACCCACTGCCCACGCCCCCGCCCTGCAGGGTCCCCAGACCCCACACTCAGGACGCCCACTGCCCAGCAGGACGCCCACCGCCCACCCCCTGCCTTGCTGGGTCCCCATAGCCCCACCCAGCACAACACCCACTGCCCCCGCCCTGCAGGGTCCCCATGCCCCGTGCCCAGCAGGGCACCCACTGCCCCCACCCTGCAGGACCCCCATGCCCCGTGCCCAGCAGGACGCCCATGCCCCCGCCCTGCCCAGTGTTCTCACCCCCGGGCTTGGGCTTTGCTACCTGGCCTGCTGGTTCGCCTGCTTTCTTGCCTGCTTTTATCTGCTCTAAGTTTTAAGTTTTGAATCTTTTTAAAAACTACTTTTTTATTTGAAAGATCTGCAGAGAGAGGGAGAGACACAGAGAGATTTTCCATCTGCTGGTTCACTCCCCAAATGGCCAGGCCTGCACCAATCCGAAGCCAGGAGCCAGGAGCTTCTTCCAGGTCTCCCACATGAGTGCAGGGGCCTAAGGACTTGGGTCATCTTCTACTGCTTTCCTAGGCCACAGCAGGGAGCTGGATGGGAAGTGGAGCAGCCGGGACTAGAATCGGCACCCATATGGGATGCCAGCACTGCAGGCCAGGGCTTTAACCCATTGTCCCACAGCGCCAGCCCCTAAAGTATGAACTCCTATGTAAGCAATGTTTGCTTACGTTTTAAAACATATGTGCAGGGGGCTGGTGCTGTGGCTTAGTGGGTAAAGCCACCACCTGCGATGCTGGTAACCCATGTGGGCGCGAATTCAAGCCCCGGCCACGCCACTTCCCATCCAGCTCCCTGCTAATGCACCTGGGAAAGCAGCAGGAGACGGCCTGAGTCCTGGGGCCCCTGCACCCACGTGGGAGATCGCGTGGAGCTCCTGGCTCCCGGCTTTGGCCTGGCTGTAGCAGCCACTTGCGGAGTGAACCAGCAGATGGAAGATCTCGCTCTCTGTGACTCTGCCTTTCAAACAAACACCCGTGCGCGTGTGTACACAAGTGTGCACGGAGGGTGAGCGTCCCCAATCTGGAAACCCAACACCCTCCCAACCCTGAAACTCTCGGGTGCCTAGAGAGGGTGTGGGTTTTTGGATCGGGGTGCTGAGCCAGCACAGAGCCTCCCCAGCCTGGAAACCGTGACCTGGAGCTCACGGGATGAGGGCAGCCCCCCACCCGGCCTGTGCTCTACCCGTGCTCTTTTTTTTTTAATTTAACTTTTTATTTATTTTTTTGACAGGCGGAGTTAGACAGTGAGAGAGAGAGAGAGAGAGACAGAGAGAAAGGTCTTCCTTCTCTTGGTTCACCCCCCAAATGGCCGCTATGGCCTGTGTGCTGCGCAGATCCGAAAGCAGGAGCCAGGTGCTATCCTGGTCTCCCATGGGGTGCAGGGCCCAAGCACTTGGGCCATCCTCCACTGCACTCCCGGGCCACAGCAGAGAGCTGGACTGGAAGAGGAGCAACCGGGACAGAACCGGCGCCCCGACCGGGACTAGAACCCAGGGTGCTGGCGCCGCAGGTGGAGAATTAGCCTAGTGAACCGCGGCGCCGGCCTCTACCCGTGCTCTCCCGTGCGCCTGCTCCCTGCCGTTGCGAGCTGGTGCTGTGTGTGCAGCTGTGTCACCTGTTCAGGTGACTCTCGCCGGTGCAGCCGGTGACGGTGTTCCTACGCTTCCTCCTCCAGCCTCACAGAACAGTTACCGCATCGACACCAACCAGGAGCTGCTGGCCATCGGTGAGGCGGGCGGGGGCTCGCTGGGCCTCTCTGCGTTGCTCCGTGCAGGAGTGGGGAGGGCCCCCCGGGGGGGCTTTGAGACGCTGCTGCGGGCTCATCCCCAGGCCTCCAGAGGGTTCTGCGTGATCCCTACGACTAGGGAGCTGGGACCCAGGCCCACCTGCTGGGCACCTGCTGTGTGCCAGACCCTGTAGTGTGGCCTCGGTCGATACCAGGGGACACCTGAGTGGCCGCCTCCGGGCGGTGCTGCCGGGGTCAGAGGTCAGAGGTCTGAAGGCTGTGGCTGAGCCTCCTGGTCGTGCTGTGGCCTTCCTGCAGGTGGGGGGCGGGTCAGGGACTCTGCCAGGTTGGTCGCTGTGTCGTTATTTGAGAGGCGGTGACGCAGACAGGCGGAGATCTGCCGTCCACTGGTTCACTCCCCGAATGCCCGCAGCAGCCGGGGCTGGGCCAGGCCGGAGCCAGGAGTCGGGGGTCTGGGTCTCCCCGTGGGCGGCAGTGCCCACCTTCTTGAACCGTCACCAGCTGCCTCCCAGGGTGCACGTTAGTAAGAAGCTGGAATTGAAAGTGGAGCCGGGCTTGAACCCAGCACTTGAACATGGGACGCAGGCCCACAGGTGGCCTTGGCCGCAGTGCCGGACGCCAGCCCTTGTTCAGTTTGAGCAGTGCCCTGTTGATGGGCGGCGTCTGGCTTTCCCAGGAACGGCGCACCGCAGGCGGAGGCCCGTGGTGTCTCGGAGCACGGACTGCCCTGGCTGCCAGGCTGGCACTGCTCTGTGAGCGGTGAGCGGCTTCCGGGGCCCAGCCCTGTCAAGCTGAGGTCGGAGAGTGGATCCGGGGTCCCCTGGTCCAAAGTGGGCCGTACCCCCGCCGGCCCGAGGGGTCTCCCTGCCCCCCGGCCACACAGTGCCAGGCCCATCGGTGAGCGAGGGTCATCGGATGCAGCTGAGGTCACTGCTTGGCCGCCACATCCGAGGATCCCGGGCTCCGCCGTGCAACCGGTCAGCGCCTGTGCTGGGAGGAGCCCGCCTCGGGCTCTGTGGAGAGCAGGCCTCGAGCCCGTGACCGCTGGGGCAGGGGTCACGGAGTGGCCCCATGGACGCCAAGGATTCACCTCCGTTCTCCCAGCCAGGCCACGCCGTGGGCCTGGGTTCCGTGCAGAGTGGTCACAGCACCTCGGGGGACAGTTCCTGTCCCCGAGCCCTGGCCGGCCTCACACAGGCAGGAGGGGTGCTGAGAGGGGCCTGTGCGGTGCAGTCAGTGCTACTGTCCCCACCTCGGGGGACGGTTCCTGTCCCCGTGCCCTGGCCGGCCTCCCATGGGCAGGAGGAGTGTTGAGAGGGGCCTGGTGCGGTGCGGTCGGTGCCGCTGTCCCCACCTCGGGGGACGGTTCCTGACCCGCGCCCTGGCCGGCCTCCCGCAGGCAGGAGGGGTGCTGAGAGGGGCCTGTGCGGTGCGGTTGGTGCTGCTGTCCACTGAGCTCGCTGGGCAGGGCCCTGGCACCTCCCCCTTCTGGGCGGGGCATCTCTGTCTCTGGGAAGGCCCGGGTTTGTACAGCTGGAGCCCACCTCAGCATCGTGTCTTGCTCTCTCTCCCCTTAAAGGACAAGCGCCAGGCGCACGGCCCCCCCCCCCCGCCCCTCTGGCCCCGCCTCCCCCACTTCTGCCTCGTGCTCCCTCCTCTCTGCTCTCTCCCCAGGCCTCACCAACGTGCTGGGCTCCCTCGTCTCGTCCTACCCTGTCACGGGCAGCTTTGGACGGTGAGTGCCCGAGCCCCTCCTGCTCCATGCCCGCCGCAGCACCTCGGCCGGGGGTCTGCCTGGCCTCCTGTGACCCAGAGGCGGCAGGAGGGCCTGCAGACTTGCCTTCAGGGTGGCCTCTGGCTTCTGGCGCTGCACTTTGTTTCTAGAAAGTTCTGGTGCATCCTGGTGCGAGACTGGCAGGACGGTGGCTCTGCCCTGGCAGGCTGGGCCTGGGGTCAAGCCCAGACCGCTCGGGTCATGCAGAAGGTGGGGCGAGCTGTGGCTGGAAGGCGGGACCCCCACCCCCCAGCGCCTGGTCCCGGGACCCCGCCCCCGCCGGGGAGCGGCCCCACCCACCAGGGGAAGCACAGAGCAGGGCCAGGTCGTCCGGGCCTGTGTGTGCTCACTCGTGTTCTTAGAATCGGTGAAAAGCAACATCTACAGTTTTTTCTTTTTAAAGATTTATTTATTTGAAGATTTATTTATTTATTTGAAAGTCAGAGTTACACAGAGAGGAGAGGCAGAGAGAGAGAGAGAGAGAGAGAAAGAGAGAAAGGTCTTCCATCTGCTGGTTCACTCCCCAATTGGCTGCAACGGCTGGAGCTGTGCCGATCTGAAGCCAGGAGCCAGGAGCTTCTTCCTGGTCTCTCACGCGGGTGCAGGGGCCCAAGGACTTGGCCGTCTTCTACTGCTTTCCCAGGAAGCGGAGCAGCCGGGACTTGAACCGGTGCCCACATGAGATGCCGAGTGGCTTCACCCGCTGAGCCACAGCGCCGGCCCCACTTGCGGCTTTTTGGAGCAGGGTGGAACCGGGCAGGTCGGGCACCGCTCTGAGACCCCCGAAGTTCTTCCCGCCCCCACCTGCGGCCCCGTCTGGTGGGGCGATTGGCCCGGCTGAGTGGACAGAGGGTCCCGCCGCCTCTCCTGGGGCTGCCAGCGATTGACGGGCACGTGTGTTACCTTCCAGGACAGCTGTGAATGCCCAGTCGGGGGTGTGCACCCCAGCAGGGGGGCTGGTGACCGGTGAGCCCCAGGTGTCCCCCTGTGGGAGGGAGGGGAGCGTAGTTAGCGGGACCCCTGCAGGTCAGGCCTCCAAGCCTGCTTTGGGACTCGGCTCCCCACCCGCCCCCTCCCGGCGAGGCCCCTCGAGCTGCCGCCTCCCCCGCCCACAGGTGTGCTAGTGCTGCTGGCGCTGGGCTGCCTGACCCCGCTCTTCTACTACATCCCCAAGGCCGCGCTGGCCGCCGTCATCATCGTGGCCGTGGCCCCGCTGTTCGACACCAGGATCTTCGGGACGCTGTGGCGCGTGAAGAGTATGGGAGTCCTTGGTGGGGCCAGGGGGCACGGGGCCCCCGGACACTGAGGGCACCCCGCTTCTCAGGCCACACTCTGTCTGCCCTCCCTGGGGCCCAGCCCTGCTCTCACTGCTGCTCAGCTCGGACCAGGAGGTCCCTCCCCTGCGGGCCGCTCGGGGTCCCTGACTGCCCGTGCCCCGCGTGTGGGGACAGGAGGGCGTCCCGCGGGCTGCAGGTCGGGAGGGCTGGGAGAGCTGGCAGCCGAGCCAAAGGCGCCCCCTCTGCACCCCCAGGGCTGGACCTGCTGCCCCTGTGCGTGACCTTCCTGCTGTGTTTCTGGGAGGTGCAGTACGGCATCCTGGCGGGCACCCTGGTGTCTGTGCTCATCCTCCTGCACTCTGTGGCCCGGCCTGAGACCCAGGTACCGGCCACGGCGCGGCAGGGCGAGGCTCGCTCCGCGTCTGCTCGCACAGCGATCCCGGTCGTGGGAGGTGCAGGAGCTGAGCGGTCACTTCTCACTTGTGGCTGGTGGGGGGGAACCGCTGGTGGTCCCGTCCCCCCAGCACCCAGGAGTGTCCCGCCGGGTGAGGGCAAGCCTGGCCTGGGCCTGCAGGACTCCCCGCTCCCTTCCATCGTCCGCAGGTGTCGGAGGAGCCTGTTCTTGTCCTGCAGCCGGCCAGCGGCCTGCACTTCCCGGCGGTCGAGGCCCTGCGGGAGGCGATACTGAGCCGGGCCCTGAGAGGTACGTGGCCCCCCCGCCCCCCGCACCCCGACCTGGCCCCTTCAGGACCCTGAGCGAGGCCCAGCCCTCGGCAGATGGGAGCCTGGCTCCTGCTCAGATCCACGAGGTCAGGCTCCGGGTCGGGGTCCCTGTGCCCCCCCCGCTGTGACAAAGCCGTGGGGCATCTGGGCACCCGTATCTGGGGTGTCTCGCCCGGTCTCACTGCCCTGCTCGTGACAGCCCCGAGGACGGGCACTCCTCTGCGTCCTGCCCTTGGCCGGAGCCCCTCCCCAGGCCGCCTCGCCTGTCTCCCCAGCATCCCCGCCGCGCTGCGCCATCCTGGACTGCACCCATGTCTGCAGCGTGGACTACACGGCCGTGCTCGGGCTTGGCGAGCTGGTGGAGGACTTCCGCAGGCGGGGCGTCCGCCTAGTCTTCCTGGGCCTGCAGGTCAGTAGCCAGCCTGGCCCCACCTCTGCCTCCACGAGGCCGTTCCTGTCCCCACCAGCCTTCCCCTCCTCCTCTGTGCGGTGGGGAGGGGCGGCCCTGCCCCCCGCCCCCAGGGCACGCGAGCAGCCCCTCCACTCCGCCTGCACGGCGCTGCGTGTGCCCGCAGGTCCCCGTGCTGCGTGTCCTGCTGTGTGCTGACTTGGAAGGGTTCCAGTACTTCTCCACCCTGGAGGAGGCAGGTGGGTGCAGGGGTGGGGGGCGGGCAGCAGGTCCACACCCAAGGGACCCGGTGGAGCAGAGCAGGTCGGGAGCGGGAGGACGGGAAGCAGGTGGACCGAGCCAGAGCCGCGCCTGCGCTCTGTGTGCAGCGAGCGCCGGCTCTGCCCCTGGCCAAGGCCATGCCCTGAGCAGCCGGCGTGGCCCTGGGGAGGCCGGGGCCCTCCGTCTCCCTAGCGATGTGGGTGCCGAGGAAGGGAGCCGAGCTTGAGCTCGGACACCGTGCGTCCACCATCAAGGCCAGATAGAGCGTGTCCATCATTCTAGAATATTCCCTCACCCTCACGACCCACCCGTCTGATGCCTGCTGCCATAAGTGGGTGTTGCTGTGTGTGGAATCTGGCAGGAGTGTCTGCCTCTGGTTCCTGGGCCTCCCCGCCGAGTGCTGGCGTGAGCAGGGTGGGCGGCCCGCGGCGGGGGGCCCCTGAGTCCCAGGGAAACCTCCGATGCCCCAGGCGACCTCGCTGGGGCCCTGCGTGGACCGGACACTCCCGCCTTAGCCATTCTGTGACCTCACCCATCCCCACTTCTGCCTGGAAAACTTGTATTTTCTGCAGAAAAATTTCTGGAACAAGAGGCGGGGACCCAGCCCTACAACGGCAGTGAGGACCCCGTCCCTGAACTCAGGGCTGCCCTCCTGAAGGCCTGATGGGGCGCTCGGGGTTTGCGGGGCGTCCTGGGAGGTTCTCTCCCGTGAGTGGATGCTGGACACCATCTGATAGCCCCCGAGGCTGCACAGTGACTCCGTGGAGGGCGGGGGAGCCTGGGGGCCCCAGTGAGGACCAGGGGTGTCTGTGGGCATGGCCTGGGCGTGGACCTTTCTGGGGAGAGCCCAGCAGGACTGACCACTGAGAACACAGGGGGCGGGGCCTCCTGGTATGGGCGGGGCCAGGGCCTGGAGCCCGTGGGAGCTCAGGGATTCTTGCCCTCTCCCCAGGCCCTGGCTGCGCAGGTGTGGTGGGAGGGTGGGCGTCTCGGCCACATCTGATCTGGACGCGGTGTCCGCTATGTCGGTGGAGACACCAGGCTGTGCCAGGCGAGGTCGAGCCTCGGTGTGAACATAATTGTGGTTTTAATGAAGTGACGGCTCTGGAGTTTTTGTACCAACCACGAATGCTCCTTGTAAAAACACGGAAACCATCCCCGCTGGGCTGTGGTGGCCGCCGCTGGACCCCTGTCCCCAGGGCTGCGTGTCTGTCCATCGGAGGTGGGCCCTGCAGAGATGGGACCATCTCAGCCCCGGTGCTAATTAGAATATCATTATAATAAAGTTAGAATATTCTAGAATCAGAATATCATACTAAAGTTACCCCAGCTGACCTTCACTCCCATCATGCACCTGATGCCACGGTGCTGCCAAGACTCCCAAAAAGAGGGCAAGGAAATAGTGGCACTCGAGCCCCGCCCCCTATGAATATTCAATTAAGCCCTGCCTTGGGCGCGCATTGTGGTGAGGTGGGTTCAGCTGCCGCTTGGGATGCTGGCAAACCACGCACAGGGCTGGTGTGATGCCAGCTGCCTGCTATGGCCTGGGAAGCAGCAGAGGACGGCCGCGTGCCTGAGCCCCCGCACAGGTGGGGACCAGGGTGGAGCTCGAGGCTGGCCCAGCTCGGGCCCTGGCAGCCAGCTGAGCAGAGGCAGCAGGTGGCGATGTCTGTCTCCCCCCCCCCCTTTGCCTTTCAAAAGTAAATAAATAGGCCAGCCCCGCGGTGCAATAGGCTAATCCTCCGCCTGCAGCGCCGGCACCCCGGGTTCTAGTCCTGGTTGGGGCGCCGGATTCTGTCCCGGTTGCCCCTCTTCCAGGCCAGCTCTCTGCTGTGGCCTGGGAGTGCAGTGGAGGATGGCCCAGGTGCTTGGGCCCTGCACCCCATGGGAGACCAGGAGGAGGCACCTGGCTCCTGGCTTTGGATCGGCGCAGCGCCGCAAACAGCGGCCATTTGGGGTGTGAACCAATGGAAGGAAGACCTTTCTCTCTGTCTCTCTCTCTCACTGTCCACTCTGCCTGTCAAAAAAAAAAAAAAAAGTAAATAAATCTTTACAAAATGTACATACATCTCTTTTCCTATCACATTGCCTTTCAAATAAGTTAACTAATTTATTCATTAATTTTTAAAAAGATTCATTTATTTGAGAGGCAGTTACAGAGAGAGGTAAAGACAGAGAGAGGGGTCTTCCATCCGCTGGTTCACTCCCCAAATGGCCACAAAAGCCGGAGCCAGGAGCTTCCTCCGGGTCTCCCGCGTGGGTGCAGGGGCCCAAGGACCTGGGCCATCTTCCACTGCTTTCCCAGGCCGTAGCAGAGAGCTGGATGGGAAGTGGAGCAGCCGGGACTCAAACCTGTGCCCATATGATATGCCGGTGTCACAGGTGGAGGCTTTACCCATTACGCCACAGTGCTGGCCCCAACTAATTTTTTTAAATGCACATAAAAAACCTGCCCCTTTTTCCCCTGACTATTGGTGTGCTCCATGCCCGAGACACCACTCCCCATGAATGCTGGGGTGCCCTGTGCCCCTGCAGCGGGGTGACCGCGTCTGCTGGCAGCCCTCTGGGCTGCACCCCTGTCCGCTGCACACTCCGGCTTTGCCACAATGAGCCCTGTTGCTGCGCTGCCTGCACCTGCGTCCCGACAGCAGCTCTGCGCCCCGGGGACAGCGCTGGGCTCTGTTCGGCCACTGGGGCACGGACGGTGAATTTCAGACCTAACAGAGCTGGGCACAAGCAGGTGGCCCCAAAGCACCTGGCGGAATTCTGCTGCCCGGGGACAGATCAGACCGACGGAAGCACACGCTGCTGACCACCGGCTCCGGCCAACACCTGTCGGCATGCCTTCTCACCATCCATGGGGCTCTGCGCCACACAGGCCTGCCCCCCAGCTCGGACCCCATCCACAGGGCTCTGCGCCACACAGGCCTGCCCCCCCAGACCCCATCCACAGGGCTCTGCGCCACACAGGTCCACCTGCCAGTTCAGACCCCATCTGTGGGGGCTCTGCACCACACAGAGCCTGCCCCCCCGACCCCATCCGTGGGGGCTCTGCGCCACACAGACCCGCCCCCCGGCTCGGACCCCACTTCACCGTCCCTCCAGAAGCATAAGGCTCTGCCTTGACCGGTCGTCTCCACACCCTCTTCAGGCTTAGCCTAGTGAGCCACGGCGCCGGCCTAAATAAACCATTTTTAAAAACTAGTCATGGCCAGCGCAGCAGCTCACTAGGCTAATCCTCCGCCTTGCGGTGCCGGCATGCCGGGTTCTAGTCCCGATCGGGGTGCCGGATTCTGTCCCGGTTGCCCCTCTTCCAGGCCAGCTCTCTGCTGTGGCCAGGGAGTGCAGTGGAGGATGGCCCAGGTGCTTGGGCTCTGCACCCCATGGGAGACCAGGAGAAGCACCTGGCTCCTGCCTTTGGATCAGCGCGGTGCGCCAGCCGCGGTGGCCATTGGAGGGTGAACCAACGGCAAACGGAAGACCTTTCTCTCTGTCTCTCTCTCTCACTGTCCACTCTGCCTGTCCAAAAAAAGAAAAGAAAAGAAAAGAAAAAAAAAAAACTAGTCATTGTAGGGGCCGGTGCTGCGGCGTAGCGGGTAAAGCTGCCACCTGCAGTGCTGCCATCCCATATGGACACTGGTTCAAGACCCAGCTGCTCCACTCCCCATCCAGCTCTCTGCTGTGGCCTGAGAAAGTAGTGGAAGATGGCCCAAGTCCTTGGGCCCTGCACCCACATAGGAGACCCAGATGAAGTTCCTGGCTCCTGGCTTCAGATGGGCACAGCTTCAGCTGTTGCAGCCATTTGGGGAGTGAACCATCTGATGGAAGACCTCTCTCTCTCTCTCTCTCTCTCTCTCTCTCTCTACCTTTCTGTAACTCTGCATTTCAAATAAATAAATAAATCTGAAAGAAAAAAACTCAGTCATTGTGGAATGTTATTGAGTGAAATCCATATAACAGGACGGCCGGCGCCGCGGCTCACTAGGCTAATCCTCCGCCTGCGGCACCGGCACACCAGGTTCTAGTCCCGGTTGGGGCACCGGGTTCTGTCCCGGTTGCCCCTCTTCCAGGCCAGCTCTCTGCTGTGGCCAGGGAGTGCAGTGGAGGATGGCCCAAGTGCTTGGGCCCTGCACCCTGTGGGAGACCAGGATAAGCACCTGGCTCCTGGGCTCGGATCGGCGCAGCGCCGGCCGTAGCGGCCATTTGGGGGGTGAACCAATGGAAGGAGACCTTTCTCTCTGTCTAACTCTGCCTGTCAAAAAAAAAATAAAAAAAAAAAAAGAGCAAAATCCATGTAACAGGAAATGAACCATTTTGAAGTGAGTGTGAGTGGCATTCAGCGTGTTCAGAGCTGTGCAGGCCCGTGTTCGGCTCCAGCACATCTTCACCCCCCACCCTGAAACCCCGACTCACCCGTCAGCGGCCCCGCAGTCGTCCCCCCCCCCACCCAGCCACTGGCGTCCAGCAGCGCCTGCGCCTCCTGCTTGTCCGGGGCCGCAGGGTCAGCAGAGGTGAGCGCTCGGGGCCTCTATGCACGGTCGGCCCCAGCGCCCCAGGCAAGCTCCTTGTATTTTAGTGTGCGTGTGCGTGTGCGTGTGCGTGTGTGTGTAGTCAACTGTTCCTGTGCCCCCAGGTGACCACGGAGTTAAATCCATGCTGTGGGGCCGGCGCTGTAGTGCGGTGTAGTGGGCTAAGTCTCCACCTGAGGTGCCGGCATCCCATGTGGGCGCCGGTTTGAGTCCTGGCTGCTCCACTTCCCATCCAGCTCTCTGCTGTGGCCTGGGAAAGCGGTAGAAGATGGGCCAAGTCCTTGGTCCCCTGCACCCACATGGGAGACCTGGAAGAAGCCCCTGGCTTCTACCTCTACCCCTACCTCTGCCTCTACCTCTACCCCCACCCCTACCTCTACCCCCACCCCCACCCCCACCCCTACCTCTACCTCTACCCCCACCCCCACCTCCACCCCTACCCCCACCCCTACCCCTACCCCCACCCCTACCTCTACCTCTACCCCCACCCCCACTCCCACCTCCACCCCTACCCCCACCCCTACCCCCACCCCCACCCCTACCCCCACCCCACCCCTACCCCTACCTCTCACTTTGGATCTGCCCAGTTCCAGCTGTTGCGGCCATTTGGGGAGTGACCCAGGGATGGAAGACCTCTGTCTCTCTCTCTCTTTCTCTCTCTCTCTCTGCCTCTCCTTCTCTCTCTAACTCTGCCTTTCAAATAAGTAAATAATCTTAACCAAAAAAGAAAGAAAATCCGTGGGGAGCTCATGGTCAAGTGAACGCAGGCTGGCAGGTGCTGGTGTGGCCTCCAGGGCTCACCAGGAAGGTGGCCGCCCGCCCCGCCCTGCCTGTGTGCGGGCGCTGCCGGTGATGGTCGTCAGGGCTGGGGCAGTTTGGCGCGAGAACAGGGCAAGCTAAGACGCCACAGAAAGTCCCTTACCGGTCGGCCATTTTTCTCACCTAAATGCATCCCCCTGGTGGACTCAGCATGGCCTCGGCTGCGTGTGTGGTTCCCCCACTGCGCCCCTGCAGGACAGAACCTCGGGCTGTGTGTACCAGTTCCCCCACTGCGCCCCTGCAGGACAGAACCTCAGCTGCGTGTGGTTCCCCCGCTGCGCCCCTGCAGGACAGAACCTCGGGCTGCGTGTGCGGGTTCCCCCGCTGTGCCCCTACAGGACAGAACCTCGGGCAGGACAGAACCTCAGGCTGTGTATACCAGTTCCCCCACTGCGCCCCTGCAGGACAGAACCTTGGCTGCGCATTTGGTTTCCCCGCTGCGCCCCTGCAGGACAGAACCTCGGCGGTCCCTGCTGCACGTCTGGCGCCGTCTCTGGGGCCGGTATTTGTGGGGTGGATGGCCGAGCTTCGGCAAGCCTGTGAAGTGGGGCGGGGACCCTTAGCCGGCCCCGCACTCCAGTCGGGGGGTTGCAGCCAACCCTGGGGCAGGTTTTCAGAGTGCGCCCTCGTGGCCGGGTCCCTGCGCTCCTATGACATGGTTTGGGGACAAGCAGGTGCCAACCTGTGAAGTGCCCACGTCAGTCTGGAGAACCTGGGGTCCATACCTCGCTCCAGTCCTGCCCCCAGCTTCCTGCTAATGCAGACCCTGGGAGGCCGCGGCGATGGCTCAAGTGACACGTGTGAGACCTGGTGTGAGCTCTGGGCCCCTAGGCTTGGCCTGGCCCAGCCCCAGCTGTTGCGGGCACTGGGGGAGTGAACCAGTGGATGGGAGGGCTCGCTCTGGCTGTCTCTCCTCTCCCTGTGTCCAGCTCCATCCCAAATAAATGCAATTTAAAAAGC